AGCATCTGGCTTATATTTCTTATAAAGTATGGTTCAACTTAGGTATTACAGCAAGACCACAAATAAAAAAAACTCTTTAGTAAGGTACTTTCTATATTTCAACTTTCAATTCACTGAAAGCAATCAGCCATTATACTTCTTTTTAAAAAAATTATCTGGTCACATGACCTTACTGATATCTGTTCTATTTTACTTATCAAAATTAGTTGAAAATTTTTACAAAAATCGTTAACAAGTATATCTTAAATATTATCATTAACAAAAAAATTTTTTTGGATTTAATTTTGCCAGTCTTAAAAATCAAAATAATATGGAACCAATTTCAATTATCATATTCAAACTTGAAACTGTCAATAATCTTGAAAAGAAACTCTGGATCTTTTTCTTTAACATATCCAAAGCCCTTGACTCTATAAATCTTCTTAGTCTGGATGCAACCATAAAAAGAATTAAACTTCTCTTCCAAATTATCTCACTGGTGTCAGACCTTTTTAGCAATAGAGAACTCCAAATAATTTTATATTACAAGCTAACTAATTCTCTTAACACTAGCAATGGAATTGATCAAAGCAAAACTTTAGCTCTACTCTTGTGAACTGTTTTTTATAATTTAATAGTTATTTAGATCACTAGTTTTATATTATCATATTCAAAAATATTTGCTTATATGAATGATATTGCTTTACTTAGTAGCTCTTTTGATTTCCTCCAGAATATCACATATATCATCTGTTCTTTTTTCAAGCTTAACTTCATTAAATATAACAAGAGAAAAACTGACCTTATTACAAATCTCAGTACAAGTAGTTCATTTTGTAATCAAGTGTTATATGTTGAAGATAAATCAATCAAGACCAAACCTTGAATAAAGCAATTTAATATTTAGGAATTTATCTCTCTAACAAATTAGTATTAATTTCAATTAAAGTCAAACTCAAGATGCTATTTCAAGCCAAAAAGATTGAAATAGATTTATTACAAGATATGCATTTCATTGGATTATATATATACAATTAGATTATATAGTTTAAGTAACAAATTTAATAGAAACAGATCCCAACTATCTTCAGTCTAAAATAAACAGTGCAATCAAAAGCAGATTAAATATCAAACAAATAATTTCTAATAAAATTCTTTTTTTATAATAAGAACTCAACATTATTAAACTTGAAAACAAAAGAAATTCCACTATTATCAAATTATTTATTACCAAAGTCACAAATTTAAAACTCTTTTCTTATACCAAAAAAGAAATATAATCTATATAAGGGACAAGTACTATCTGGTTATATTCTATATATGATCTCTCTTATTTCAAAGAAATTTGATTAACATCTATAGCTTGGCTAGCAAAAAAAACATAACAATATTTGCTTCTCTTCTTGTTCTTTTAAAATTTCTAATTATTAACAATCTATTAGACTTCTTATCAAGGTTAATAGGGCAATCCCTCACATTATATTATTCTAACCTTAAAACAATACCAAATACCTATATTGTCAACTCTTATAATAAACTTTCTTAAAAAAGAATTACATACATACTGGGGATTTATTTCTCCTAGCCTCATACCCTTCTGGTTCAAAAATATATCTTAATCAAGCAATATGATTATTGGAAACATTTTGTTTATATACAATTGCAAATTTCAATTCTGGGCATACCTAAATATCTTGAACTTTATTAACTTTATCAAAACCAGGCTCAATGCAATCCCTAGCAAACAATTATAGGCCCATACTTTCTAATTACTAATTCAAAATAACTTAACAGATGTGACTGTACCAGCCAATCCTGTCTTAAAACAATTAATATTAATTAACTCCAATTTATTTGGTTAACAAAAAAAAATAACAACTTTTTTATTCATAACAATTTACAAAAGCTAACAGCTAGTCTTACTTCTATCATTAATTAAATAGCAATTATATCTATATTCTTTCAATTACATTTCTTATAATCCATTAATTATAATATATACTTTACAAATAAGAATTATATCTTCATCTTTAATCCTTCAAAATATACTACCTATAAACTTAACACTAATTTCCTAGCTTTTTTTTGGCTTATCTTAATTTTACTACTTTTGAAAATTCTATTGCTCTTGACAGTTACATGTTATTTAGTATATAAACTCAATATTAAATTATTTGAATATATTAACTATCAAGTTAAACAGTTATATAGCCATTTATAAAAACAATTAACAACAAACTCAACATTAAATAAATTAATTTTAACTGGATCTTTAACAAAAACCAGTTCTTAACAATATCTTTCTAAAGTATTTTAGAATCCATATCAACAATATACCCAACCAATTATATTATATCACTATTAATTAATCTTAACTATATAATAAGAATCATACAATGGATCAAATTTACAAACTATTATACCAACCTCTTTAACATTTTTTTCAATTCATTTACAACCTACAAATTTAAGTCTTTTCTTAAGCTAAATATAATTATCAAATTTTTAAAGAACTTAAGATAAATGATAACACTAGTTACAAATTTCTGACCACTTTTAGAACAAAATTAATGATGGATCAACTTCCAATCTAAAAAAACTTTATAGCAGATACACTTAACTCTATAATAATGATCTATACCTATACTGTAATATATATTCAGAAGACTTCAATTATATTTTTACATACTATTAAAGCTTGTCAACTTTTAAAAAAAAAAACAAATTCGAAGCAATAATTACTATTAATTAGGGCTCCTAATGATACCACTTCGATATCAGTTCAATACCAGTTCGATACTTAAATTTACTATAAAAACATATGAGTAGGTTATAACCTATATATTAAATTTACTATAGATCAGTACCATTTCGATACCAGTTCGGTACTTTTTTGGAACCCTACTATTAATATATCAAAAGAAAAACCCAACTTAATCAAAGCAAACCAATTATTTCTTACTAATCTAAATGGATTCCATCTTCTTAATTCTACTTTAAGCAAATTTGCTTTACTATTTAATATATTTTTTTTAAAAAAAGAAATTTTAAACTATTTCCTCAAAGTTTTATACAAAATTTGAAAACAATATTTATTTATTGTCACTACTATAGTTCTAAAAATTGAAATTAAATAGAATTGTAGAAAATTGTATAAGATTTGAAACACTATTAAAAATAATGATAAAATATACTTTATCTATTAAATTTAATATAAACTTGAGAATTGAATACAGAATTGAAGAGAATTATTAGAATTCTTAACTACTACTTCAGTATCTTTAAGTATTAAATAGAAAAAAACCAACATCTTTAATGAAATCACAAACACTAATTTAAGAATGGGTTCCTAAATTATTTAGCATATAAAATTGTGCAGATCAATTATATTCCTATTGAAGAAATATAATTAATTATTTATTATTTTAATAGAGATATATTGTAATTCAAAAAACACTTAAATCAAGTGACCTAAATTGCAAAAAACCTTTGTATATAGTTTTTTTTTTTTTAATTTTATATTTTTTAAAAAACTTTTTTAATAGTAAGTGACATTTGAATTATATTCTTATCTTTAATTTAAAGATCCATCTTTATACCAATTTATAAACTTTTAATATTTTTCAAAAAATACTAAATACTTTAAAAAAATCCAATAATCTCACTAATAAAAAATATTTACTTCAAATATAGTTTTATTATTTTGAATAGATATTAGCTATTCAACATTTTTAATATATAAAAATTTATTTGATCTTAATATGACTAATTGATTAGTTGCAATAGGTTATCATTTATTTATTTATTTTGTAAACTAAAGATTGTTAATATAATAACAATAAACTAATGTTTAATAAATATCTTACATTTAATGCCTGTTTATGATTTTTTTTTTAAAAAAGTAATTATTAAATAAATAATAATAATTCAAATAATTTATTTTATTTATAAATTTTTATTTTAACTTTAATAATATTTTTTTATAGATTTTTTAAAAAATAATACTTTAATATATTATTTTTTTTTTAAGTAAATATATTAAATTTTAAAATAGTTTTATATATATTAATTAGATATAATATGATTTTTATTTTAATAATTTGTTATAATAATATATTTAATATTTTTTTTATAATATATTAATTAAATTAAATTAAAACCAATAGTGAAAAACAATTATAAAATAATGTCTTAATAATAATATTTTTTTCATGTTTTTTTAATATAAAATTATAAATATTTAATAAAATTATAAAATTATTTTGAAATAAATTACAAGATTTTAGTTTATTAAATATAATATGAAATATTATGATCAATATATTAACAAATATTTTTAAAAAAATTTTTTTGAATATTAATAGGACAAAAGTAAAAACAATTATTTTTTTAAAAAGTTTTTAATTCATCCTGTATATGCAATATTGTTTAAAAATATCAACAACAAAATAATTATAACTAAAAAAAAATTTATTATAATATCGAATAAACTTATTAATCAAAGTAAAAATAATATACCATTTAATTAAGAATTTAACAATATATAAGAAACGTATTGCATATTTGGTAATATTTAAATAATAATTTTTTGTTAGTAGAATAAATTAAAATTTTAAATAGATTTTTTAAAAAAATTTTTTTGGGGGATATTTTTTGTGTATTATCATGAAATTTAAATTAATGAATTTAAATAAAAAATGTAAGTAAAATTTTTATTTATAAATTAAAAAATAATTTTCAATAATAAAACAAATATGTCGTATATAATATCAATTACTAAATAAAGACGTTATAAATTTCAAACGATCATATTTTAAATGAGGGTTATAACTACGTAAAATTTTATTCCTGATTTAATATATTTTATAAATAGCTGTGATAGAATTATATCATTACCTGTGCAAAATTATGTCGAATGACACTACCACGGTTTTGCCTTAAAACCCGGAAATTCGGAAAAAACCATGTAGCAAAACAAGACCCTTACAAATTTGTTCGATGACGTCATTTCATAATGAAAATCAAATTTTCCCGAGCCATTCGATAATGTCATTGGTGGTTGCAATCTTGGCCCATCCATACTCCAAGTTCAGTAAAGTTGCCTTCCGTTTTAAAAAATGAATTAGTAATTTACAGTGTTAATTTCTTGAGAAGAGCTAATTTTACCTCGTGCATTGCCTTATTTTCGGTGGCAGTAGCATCCTTGATAAAAACAATGTCATAATTCTCGTCAAACCCTCCTGGAATAATTTGTGT